CCCCCCCCCCCCCCCCCCCCCCCCCCCCCCCCCCCCCCCCCCCCCCCCCCCCCCCCCCCCCCCCCCCCCCCCCCCCCCCCCCCCCCCCCCCCCCCCCCCCCCCCCCCCCCCCCCCCCCCCCCCCCCCCCCCCCCCCCCCCCCCCCCCCCCCCCCCCCCCCCCCCCCCCCCCCCCCCCCCCCCCCCCCCCCCCCCCCCTCCCCCCCCCCCCCCCCCCCCCCCCCCCCCCCCCCCCCCCCCCCCCCCCCCCCCCACACAACAAAAGGAGGATGCGCCTAATAGCTGTATAGGCGTTGCAACCAAGCTGCCCACGATACACAAAAGCCACAGCCATCCTCTGGAGCCTGCTCGCCGCTACAAATTGACTACCACCTTTGTGTTCTGGGCTCTTGACTTAAGCCATTTTTTCCAGCCCGAAGGGCTTCACGGTGACTAGTCAGCCCTAGTCAACCCCTGAAGATCAACTGTCCGCTTTGCTGTTTTGAGTTATTTTTCGATTTTTCTTTTGTCGCACCCTTGCAGTCTTTCTTTCATAACGGATGACCCAATTATCATAAGGGGTACCTTCATTCTATTGGTTTTAATCATGAAATCAAAATTCGGCCTGTGGCATTTGTTCCTGAACGCTGAGTAAACAGAAGGTTGAATGTGATAGCATATTTCAGCTCTGTGTAGGAGAAACGGCAAACTTCGTGTGTGTAAAGAGGATTCTGTCACCCCTATTTTACTACCCTACAGTAAGTACAATTAGTTGTCAAATTATGTCAAATTAGCCATGGAAGCACATGGAACCGTCTGCGAGCTTTAATTTAATGCTGTTTTTGATTCCGCTTTTCAGTTCATGATGAATGGCAAGGAACGCGATCGATTGAAGCCGACCATCGATCCTGCCAAACTGGAGCGGAAACATGCTATCAAAAAGAAGCGAATGGTATTGCTTTTTTCTTTGATATGGTTAAATGGTGCAGTAGTAGCCTTATTTGTAAGATCCTTTGTTGCGATAATAGTTTTTTTTTTCAGCAAAAACGCCTAACACTGAAGAAAATCAAGTCTGGTGAAGTGGTTACCGTCCGTCATGATGCAAAATGAATTTATAGTTATTTCGTTGATTGTTTGAGAACATCTTTCCGATGTCATGAGATGTTGATTTTGTTGTTATTCCCATTTGGAAATGGTCGTTGTTGCTTACACTTTGGAGATTTTCGTTTTCATCCGCTGTTAATAAAAGTATCTGGACCTTGATTCGCATTGAAAAGGGGAGTATTCCAAGAAATTCTATCTGAATTTTCTACTCAATGTCCTTCTAGCATATCTTTTTCTGAGTTAGGTTATCCTCCAATCATGTCTATGCCATGGTATTATCTGGAAAAGCCAACGCGTATGATGTTGCTGAGGTGAGGTGTTTGGAGGTTCTGCTCTGATCTACCCTAGGTCTTTTAGTTGCTTGCTTGAGTCATTTACTTCTGCTCTGTCATGTCAGAAAGTTAGGGTGAGGTGGTTTCAGGTGTTACTACGCTGTATGTGCTTTCACATATCCAGTGTTCGTAGGATTGAACTGGAAGAGTTACGCTCCAACACGAGCTGAGGTAAGGGTGGTTTTGATAGGATTTTTCGTACATATGGCTAGATCGATGGTTGCAGGTACTGGCTGGAAGGTCATTGAAGGACGAAATTCTCCGCCCAACGAAGAAATAGCCATTATGAACTGGTTTCGCTTTTGTCATAGATATGTGTATAGTTTTGCAAATTGTGTGCGTTTAATAAGAGATCTATTGAAGAGGTTAAAGTGGTACAGTAGGAATTAGGAGGAGTTAGTACGTGCCACAGTAGGAATTTTAGGAGATAGTTAATACGAAGTAGTTTTACCGGCTGGGTTGTGTGGATCGATCCAATTTTTTGTTCAAAGGTTCTTTTTATTTCATAAAAGGTAAAGCTTCGTGTTGGTTAGAATCAAGAAAGCAAAAAAGATATGAATGACAGATCCGTGACGCAAATCGGCTTATATACATTTTTGTGCCATTACAATCGCCTTCATTACATTGTTGTGCAGATCCCGATGCATTGGGTTCGTGCCAGGCGAAGAACAGATCAGTATTTTATCCTTCTAGACTACTAAGAGAGAAAAAACCATTATAAACAATAATATTTAACACGGTTCGTTCCGCTCCTTCCTCAGGCGAGCCCTTTTTATTCTCAATCCTCAGAGTGGGGGATCGTCTCAAGTCACTCTAATTGTCTCGAGGGGTCCAGGCATCACTTGTTCTTAGACTTTTTCGTTGCACGATTGGGACGAAAGCGCTTTTTGTCATTATCACATCTGTTTTTGGTGAATATCACAAAGATTTTGTTCGGAAAGATTCCAACGACATTGAATCCACGCGATGTGCCGTAGCTGTGAAAATTAGGCTGCCAAGAAACCTCATGTGGTTTACTGGGTGTTTATCACGTCAAGAGTGAGGCTGCGACTTTTTCGCGTTCCGCAGCGCGAAACATTTTTCGCTGCGGAACCTCAGGTCCGCTGATTTTTCGCTGTAGGAACCTCGGGTCCACTGATGATCAAAGGAGACCTGGGGTTCCCACAGCGAAAAATGTTCCGCGCTGCGAAACGCGAGAAATTCGCTTTCGGTCTTGGTGAAACACACTCTGGTTTACTGGTACTGTATTTCAAGTAGTTTTTGTTTGTATATTTATTCAAAAATTTATGAATAAAGTCTTATTCAACTGCATTTTGTGTTCAGATTTCAGAGCGTATTCTTCGCTTTATCTGTGTTGTAAGTCATATTTTCATCGTTTTACGATGATTTTGCTTTTTTTAGAGCGTTCATAACATGGACAAGAGGCAAATTCGCACGATTCTCCTGTTCCAGTTCAAGCTGGGATCGGAACGCAACGGAAACAGCTCGTGATGTCAACAAGGCGTTCGGTCCGGCACCATCAGTGAAGCTACTGTGCGGAAATGGTTCAAAAAGTTCAGCAGCGGTGACGAAAGTCTTCAAGAGAATGAGCGCACTGGTGAAGCGTCGAGTACGACGATCCGACAGCTTGCCAATGAAATTGGTGTGACGTACGCGACCGTTGCCAGACATGTGCGACAGATTGGAAAGCCGAAGTACATTTGGGTCCAGACCTCCGCAATCGGACGTAAGCGATATAGTTAAACTTCTTCCTGGCTTGCAAATCTTGTTATCTTCTTGCTTATCTATTTACGTGTATATGTTACGTGTACGGCCATATGTAATCGTTCTCATTTCGAGTGAAGTTCTCTTTGAGAAGTTGTTATTTGTGGGTTTCGTTCACTAGGACAGAAGCGACTTTTTCGCGTTTCGCGCGCGAAACATTTTCGCTGCGGGAACTCAGGTCCACTCATGATCAGCGGTGGACCTGAGGTTCCTGCAGCGAAAAATGTTTCGCGCTGCGAAACGCGAAAAAGTCGCTTTCTGTCCTAGTGAACCACACCCGTTATTTGTATCCATGTATGGGTAATATCCATTGTTATCACTTAATAAATGAAGTTCTCCTTACGCTGATGAATGCTCCTAAATACAAGGGTCAAAAACTAGAATCTTATTTTGTTGAGATTCATTTTTGAGGAAATGGTAGAGTTGAACAAGAGGTCGTCGGTAGTGAATTGACGAGTGGGGCCACTCCATGCGCATGAGCAATAAAGTCGGATCGGACCACACCATTGTTATTCTAGCCTTTCTTTTCTCGGGGTTAGTCATCTGGTGTCGTACTAATAGGACAGAACGATACAAACATTGTAAACTACATGGCGCATTCAATTACCCTGTGGTTCTGAATGGGAGTAAAATGCGTGGCGCATTTCAGAAAGCGCCAAGTTCCTTTTTATCTTTCATTATATCGTAATACCGAGACGCTTTCGGTGGTCAGAATACGGTTCTACTGCAGTAGAGAGGCAGGGGGTGGGCGCGGGTAGCGTTCACGTAAACCGCGTAAGAGCATTTCCTACTTCTCACACAACTTAATAATGCCTTGTCCCCTACCATCTTGGTTTTCTGCATTCGCCTTTGTTTCTCGGATTTTCGTTTTACACCGAATGTCATTATGTCTTAGTGAGAGGACGCAGGGAAGTCAATCGGCGCGGGCCGCTGGCAGTCCGCACCGTCCCCCCACTTCAGCACAAAATTTTCTGTACGACCCAGTTACCATACATATTATCCCTAAGAACAGCGATATTTTCAAACAATTTCCATATGGGTTTCTGTTTGCCAAACAAAATTTATATCCTTATTACACACGCGGCAAAAAGGGCAGTGATCAGAAAGGCGTATCGATGACGTGATGAAGTGTTGCACATGTTTGATGAACAACAGCAGATGTTGTAAGTCTCCAAATTTATCGTTTGCTCGTAGCATCCTCCTCTGAAAGCAATTTTTTTTCGCACGAGGGTCACAAAAATCGTAAGTATATGTAGTTGAAGGGGAAGACTTCAATTTACTGGAAGAGCTGCTTCACAGTAAGTTCAGCGACGACAAATATAAGGGAGGTATTTATACAGTGCGTTTCAAAAGTATGTGCACACCCTCAAAATTCACGTTTGAAAGGGAACCATGAGGTTTCGTGCTATGAAATCCTTCTCAATCGATTTCTCGTAGTCGATAACCTATCAATGGAAGCAAAGCAGATAATATCGCCTCACTTTCGAAAAAAAATTTTGGATGAAATTTTTTTCTTTGTTTCAAAAGTATGTGCACACTTAACAAAAGACAAAAACATAGCTGAGATTAGAAATCAGTGGGGCCTCCAGAGTTTCTAATTAGCTCAAACATCCTGTCCGGCATAATCTGAACCACGTTTGGCATAGCTGTTTCGTCGCTGTCGGCCCAAATAGCCTCTACCGCCGCCTTCAGTTCATCCGCGGTATTATACTGCCGGTTGCTAAAGTTAACGCCTTGATCAAGGGCTCCCTATAGGGTTGCAGTAAGGAGGACACACAAGCCAATCTATCGCTTCAGCACCATTTGGTTAAGGCCATTCTTTGGTAGATTGCGAAGCATCGAAAGACACGTGGTCCTGTTGCTAAAAATGCAATTTTCGCTCCGCTTCGCTAAGGAAGGGCAACAGGTGACATTGGAGCACTGCTTGGTATTCTTTACAGTTCATACGCAATAATGGAACGGCAACTTCTGAATTTCCGCTGATTGCGAAACCGCCGCAGACCCATCAACGGGCCTCTTCCGAAATTCCTTCTCGAGAGCACGAGCGACTCACGGCCAAGCCTCTCCAGTAGTAGCAAAATCCACCCGGCCCGTCAAGATCGAACTCTTTCCATGAGTTAAGATTACCTGAGGAGAGAAAGTCCATTAAAAGTTGCTTGTTTTGAAAATAGGAAATTCTCGAAAAAGCGTGTCTTCGCCCGGTGTCCTATCCTATGTTGCCGTGTCTGTACGAGCAGACTCCAATGTGGCTAACTTGTGCTGGGCCTTGAAGTGAGTAGCCTTTCTCAGCGTCTGTCGAGTGGTGTATTCATTTGAGCGGATGAGGGGCTTAGTGGTCATTTTCGAGGCTGGAATAAAAATCTGAGCTCGGACTGTCAATGAAGAATCCGACAGGATGTGGGCTACTCTTTTGTTGTTCTGAGCAGTCAAGGATCGTGGATGGAGCGGAGTGTGTGCTGAGTATAATTATCAGGGTGCCAGATAAATCTTCGAATGCATTAAGGAGAACGACCAAGTTATCGTGCGATTTCTAGATTGGAACGTTCATTATCATGCAGAACCTTGATCTGAGCTTGCTCATCTTCAGGAAGAAGTATGGCGCGAATTGACATGATGACGAAATGAAAACAGCAAAGTCGGATTGAAATCGGTGGAAAATTCGGCGCCAAAATCTGATCTTCTTCAAGTGTGCACATACTTTTGAAACAAAGAAAAAAATTTCATCCAAAAATTTTTTCCGAAAGTGAGGCGATATTATCTGCTTTGCTTCCATTGATAGGTTATCGACTACGAGAAATCGATTGAGAAGGATTTCATAGCACGAAACCTCATGGTTCCCTTTCAAACGTGAATTTTGAGGGTGTGCACATACTTTTGAAACGCACTGTATTAGGAAATTATGAAGCCGCTTCAGATGGCGCGAGAACCCTTTGTGGCCTTCGCCAAGGGTGCCGGCACCGAACGATTGCGATAGCTCCGGCGCGGGGCGTTTTCGTGCCAAACGGGTGTGATGTTCGCATGTTAAAGTTCAAACTACCCCATGAGTAATTTTTGGCCTAATCGCCTCCGTTTGCAAATTTTCAAGAGAAATTCCAACTCAGTTTCCCGAATAGTGGGGTAGTGAGGGGTCAATAGTGCTGGAATTTCTTTTAAAAATGTTGCAGTACCGCAAAATCCGAGCGGAAAACCACAGGACCGTATGGTTTTCACGTCGTGGGAACAAAAAAGCTGGAAATAGTTGAACTCTGTAAATGGAAATCACTTTTCATGTTCCTAGCTCCCTTCAACCCTATACCTAATGTTGCCTTAAAGGCAAGATTCGGGATAAAATAGGTGTGGAAAAGCGTTCAGTTATGAAGCTAGAGGTGGGAGGTGGTCTGTAAAAGAGAAGGAAAGCAAACGAAACCACCGATTACGCCCCGCACAGAGACCTCCCTATTTCAGCCGCATTCCACCTTGGGATAGAGAAGGGCGCGTTGGACGAGTTTCACGAACCTAACTCTAGTTGCTCCAGTG